GCAACTTCCCTGGCATTTATTGATCATCCTTTCAGACTCAAATTCCCGGTACTGCTTTTTGGCAAGTCGCTGATATTATATGGCATCACAGAAAGAGGGCAGGTGCTTGAGAATTACTGCTGATAGGCAAGCTTCCTGATGCAAATATGTCAGAACATCAAAGTGATGAGTCTTCAGGACGTATTTATGAAGAATAGGAAGTAAATGAAGCAGTTGGTACTTGGTCACACCTTCAGAGGGATGAACTAGCATCAGCATTCTCCAAGTGAAACTGCCCTCAAACTGTGTTGGTCTTATTGGATAAATAAGTCCAGAGATTCAGCTTTTACAGCTAAGAGCACTATGATTTGTGTTACTAACGGGTATAGCTCTGTTTGGGACCCTCTCGGACAATAGGTGCTGCCAATTTGTAGTTTTTGAAGCCAGTATGTAGTTCTGTCCTAGCCCCACATTGGAGCAAGGTTGCGCGCGAAACCCTGTATGGCATCTGGGTGGGTTCTTTATTTTTAAATAACGGTAACTGTCATGGTGTGGAGAATTAAGTAGAGAATTTTCAAATGTGAAGCAGTGGCTAGTCTAGAAATGGTAGGAAAAGGACCATTTCTGGGGTTGAGAAATGGCAAGTGAAATAGGGAAAAAAAAAAAAAAAAGTAATGCAGTTTCAGCCTGTTGGTTGGATTTACATTATCAGGTAGCTCAGCAATTAACCCTTTCTGTTAATCTAAAAGGATCAGAGACCCATTTCTTGGAGGCAACTGTGACATCTCACTGATGAATGCACTTGGACTCGTTAAAAAAAAAATAAAATTGCAGTATGTGTAAGTGCACATTAGGTTTAGCAGTTGAATATGTTATTTTTGCCTCAATTCTCAGAAATATTCAAGTGAAAAAAAAAAAAAAAATCGCAAGGACTTCCATTTGAAGTTTAGCCACATGCTCTAGCCTAATGGAAATACCCTGTTAAATCAGATGCAGGTGGTGGCAGAGGGGATTATCATTAATATTTTGATATGGCGTGGTGGGTTTCTATTGTTGCTAAAGCAGAGCGAAGGAAATAGAAAAACCTGCGGAGGGAGATCCATCAGAGATAGAGCTCTGGCTCCTTCCTGATGGGGAGCATTCCTGTGCTCAGTAATACTGAAGGGAAAACGTCGGAAAAGGTAACATCTTCGGGCTCTTTGGCCACAGCCTTCAGACACAACTTGTTTTAAGACAGTTTCCCACATCCTGAGGCTTGTGGTGGGCGCAAACACATCACGGGCAGCACTGGTGCATTGTTCCGGTGGAAATCTGCATTCTCTGGGGTTTTCACGCTGTACACGTGTGCGGTGAGCTCTTTCAGCTGAGGACCCAGGAGAAGTTGGAAAGCGAAGTTCCTGCAGATATTTTGCCTTCTTTCTCCCCTTTAGTTCGGTCTCTGGGATTTGGGGCACGGGGCTGAAGCAGAGGAAATGCCGTGAGGTTTGCTCTCTTGACTTGTCTTCTGGAAAATACAAACCTCTGGGGACAACACGAAGAATGGAAACAATTTGCTGTGGATTTTTCTGAACCTTGTTGATCCTTGAGATTTCTCTGCAGTTTGGTTGTTTGTTTGGTTTTTTTTTTTTATTATTTATCCATTCCCCATTATGACGTGAATTGGATTCTAGGATCTCAGACCAAACTACAGTGGAATTTTTGAGGGGTTTGGGAGCAGTAGAACTTGGAAAATAATTTTTAGTTATTTACTGTAATGTGAAAGCCCGTTAATGCAAATTTAAATAAAATCTGTATTTAATCAAATGGGAGGTGTGTTTTAGTACTGAAAGCCTTGGCTGCGGCAAGGCTGTTAAACTGAATTACAGTGGAAAGCGTAAGAGGTTAAGATCCTTATATGCGAGTCATCAAGCTAATGCTGGCTTTTGGGTTCATGGCACCTCGTTTAGGAGATGAAACTCGCTGCTGTTTTGCATCGTTAGCATCTGAACCCTAGGAAAGCATTTGAGCGGCACATCTCTGTTTCCTGGTGGTGTTCAGTGGAGTTGATGAGTAATTTAGGGGACCTTCGCCCTTCGGAGGAGCGTGGTGCCACCGAGGCACGTGCTGTTGCAAAGTCATGGGAGCACGCCTGGAAAATGAGGCTCCTCTGTACAGGACATTAACTCATAAATCATGCTGATATTCTTACTGATAAATCTTCCACTGTGAAAACCTTTTGATACTCGTCTGTTATTAATGACAAAAAGGACTTAATTCCTTTGGCTAACAACAGCCTTCCCATTTTCTAGAGAGCGTTTAGCAGCCTGGCGAGATACAGGCTCACATACACTGCACCGACGTTTTTTATTTCTGTGGCAAGACTCCAGAGGATGGAGGAGAAGTTTCCTCTCTAAAAGTCCTATTTTTTTCTACCTAATAAATTCCAAAATTACGAGAGATATTGACATAGATTGTAGGTATTACCGCGGAAAGGGAGAGGGAAGGTAGAATTCGTGCAGTACCTGATCAAAATTCCTTGAATGATTCATTTAGATAAGCTGGAGAAAAAAGCAGAAGACAGTTTATTTGGATTTATTAGGTTTTTGCTTTAATCTGCCATTCATTTCTAGTTCTCACGGCTTCAACAGGGGCATATGGGGAAGATAGTGTGAGCAAACTCTGCCTGTATTGGAAGGGTGTAGGCAGAGGAGCTGGTTTTCAGTGTCCACCACTCTTCCAGTAAACGATGTCTAAGCGTTTGGTAATTTCAGCCAGCCAAGTTTAAAGGCCGTTTATTTACACCTGAAAACTGTTTCAATTTAAATCTTGAATAAAATTTATTTTCAAATAGCAGTGCCTGCAGGAGCACGTGGTTACCTCAATCTCCTGCGGCTCATCTCAGCAGCTGTAGGTAAATAGTGCAGAGGCACGTTAGCGCCTGGAGGGAGGATTGTACGTCGGTACGGTGACCTTCGTCCTTGAGGCTCCCAGCCCCATCGCATATGTATGTGGCTGTATGTCATGTGGCTTCATTCTTTTATGAAAATAAACCTTCTAAATATTGCTGCCAACGCGTATGATAAACAAGACTGAAAATACTAGTTGTACTCACTCAAGGTTTTCATCTATAAAGCTTAGTTCAACTTGGTGTGAACTCATGGGGTTATTATAGTTTTCTGTTACTTGCTGCATCCTGTGTTTTGTTATCATGAAAAAGCTGTCTTCTTACCACTAAGTTGTCACGTTCATGGAGTACATGGTATGAGGTTCAGTGCGTTTAGTTTAGGGCTGTCACACGAACAAAAATGAAGAATGTATACCAGTTTTCCACATCTGTAAACTCTTATGTTGCTTTTTTATTAAGACTCTGCGGTGAGGTGCTGCTCCAAAAACAAGTTCACCCGTGTCCTCTCCTTGAGGAGGGAGAAGGAACAAGGAAAATGTTGGATGAAAGGGAGAGTTTCTTGTAACACCAGCAAACGTTTGATTATTTAGCAAAAAGCTGATTTGGATTACAGGCAAAGTAAACCTCGAGGAGCCTGCAGTTCTTCAGGTGCAGCGCACTGCGCAGAACTTCTGCGCTGAGTAAATTTGCTCTGCTCTCTGCGTGTCTCGGCGAGGAACTGCAGAAGTGCTTCCCAAAATGCAGAGGGTTGTTTACTTTTGCCCTGGTGGGCAAAACTGTGATTGATTTTTTTTTTTTTTCTCCTCACAGTAATTATATTACTCGCAGATGTGACTTCATTACATAGCACTTCATAATGGATTTAAAAATAATTTTGCTTATTTTGAAAACAATTATTGTACAGCCGCAAGCAGCGGTCAGCTGTAAGTTGTCAGACATGGATTTTCCTGACTCCTGATGCACCCCCAGTCTGTCGTCGTGCTCTTCAGTCAGCTTCCCACCTTCTCCAGCACTTCTGCACTTCATCTGCTACTTCATCGGGCTGGCAGCATCGCCCACTTGCTGCAGGCAGACGTAGGTGGGGTGGACTGCAGGGTGCCTTGGGGTAGATGACAAACGTGGGGAAATACTGGGGAAAATAAGTTTGCACAGTTGTCTGTGGAGACTGTTGGCTCTGAATATTGACGTAACAAGTGAATTTTTTCAGGTGTGAGGCAAACTGCAAATCAGCTGTACGGTCCGAGTGCCTAAAAACCAAGAAGCCTTGTTGGTCTCTCAGTGTAACCAGGATGTATGTTTGACCCAGTTAGCTTGTGCTGACTTACAATTTCTTAGGTTTCTTTGTTCTCTTGACTTTTATGTCCAGTTTCACTGGAATTTAGCTCTTTGGAGCAAAGGCTTTTTTTTTGTCCTGGCAGTGATGTTGGTGTCTGGGTGACTGCAGTGGACATACTTGTGGTCTTTTGTCCCGTTTCTCTCCTAATGATTGTACAAACCAAACTGTAAATACAACTCAAAACATCTACTGAGTCAGACTGTGGTGGGTTGTTTTTTTTAGCCAAGATGAATTTGACAAGTATGTTATTGTTGGTCTTGTACAATATTGAGAAGTGCTTGGCATCTGTTTCCAACTACATCCTATCAGTAATCGTAAAACAGACTAGTAACAATGGGAATAAAAAAATGTTTCTTTTCCTAAGGAATGATTGATTTTTTTTTTTCCCTATATTTTTTCTAGCAGACATTCTATTTGTGTCGGTGGTTATTTGCATAACATTGCTGCTCTAAACCAGTGAATATACTTTGTTGTCACAATAATCCTTTTGAAATCGGTCAAAACATGCCGGATGTTAGCTGATAAACCAGCCATGAAACTGCTATTGCTTGAGATTTTTATGAAGGTCACTGTTGTGCTAGTTAACGTGTTTTTTGAGATTTTGTTTCAGCTGCTGACCTCTTAAGATGGATCATTCTGAGTTTTGAAAGTAAAAGCCATAGTTGAAGAAACTTGAAATACAATGTTTTCTTGCTTTTTTTAAAAAAAAATTACTTTTGAAAACTACTCAAAAATATCTTGAGGTGAGTCTTCCTTGGTGAAAATGCATGCACTTAAAGAGGAATTTGTTTTCCCAAACAGGTGAATTCCAAACAGGGAGTATCTCAGTGCAAGGAGAAACACGTGGTTCTGCTTAGCCCCGTGGGAAAACTCAAGATATCTGGGTGTGAAACGGGCTTACATGAAATAAAACTCCCCAAATGAGCGTGCTGCCGAGTGGGTAAGTTCATGCCCTGTGTTTATGTACGTGGCAGAGACAAGGGATTGCCCGGAGGATCTAGGACCCGACAATGTGTGCTTGTTTTTACTAGCCATGCTGGGAGTACAGAGCTTGCTCCTGTGAGAGGCAAAACCAGCCTCAAGTACCTTTAAGGCGTGGCAGCTCCCAAATGCATTTCTTTCCCTGCTGCATCAATGATATCAACGAAGAAATGTTCAAAAATAAAAGTATTTCTAACACAGGTTTTGAAAGTGCATCCAACCCTCTACTTTTGGACGCAACATGCAAAGCTGTCACTGAGGATTAAGACCTCCTTGCGTACTCTGCAAATTTTGCAGACTGTATGTTGATATATATGTTCCAACAGGCAGAATCAGACTGAATAATTCTTTTAATCACTGCGTACTACTTGTGAGAGCTTTGGTTGGTTTTCCATAGCTGTAACGACTTCTGCAGTTCAGAACAGATGATGCACACGGCAGTGGAGACGATGTCTCAAATCTAGGACTGATTGAGGAGGCATTGGTACGTTTTACTGTTGCTTGTAAGTGCTATATAAGTTGCTTATAAGTGTTTATCTGCTAAAGTACATCTGTCCTGTTCAGATCTTTGGTCTGTGGTTTTTCCTGATTTGTGAGGAAATGCTTGGGGGTGCTTTTAGAAGGAACTCCGAATTCTGTCAGAATTACTAGATGCCAAATTTCTTTGCCAAATTCCTCTGCCAGAAAGAAAGCTACTAATACTACTTATTTAAGGCTGGTCTCTCCAGCTGGTTTGGTAATAAAATTTCAGTCTTTACCACATTCTGTTACAGCAGAGATTTTTCTGACAAGACACAAACAGGTTTGGCTTCCTTCTCTCCACCTTGTCCTCTTCTCCCCTGCTTTTTACTTTAGAAATTCTCCATTGATTTGTGGGGTTTCCTGTTTTCTGTTTCCTTATTTTATTATCCTTAGAATCTAAGTGTGTGTAAAATTAATCAGGAATATGAAGCGTAATGTGTATTCTGGTTGAAATATGTTTTTTGCCTCCAATATAAAAACCCTCAAGCTTCTGGATTTGACAGTTTTGCCAACCCCAGTGATATGGAAATAAGTGCTTCAGTTTCTTTATATGCTGATTGCAGTATTGGATTTCTGCTGATGAGGAATGGAAATAAAGTGGTATTTAGGATAGGCCGAAGCTTGCCTTTGCTGCAAAGCAGCTTCTGCCTGAAGAACAGCTAAGCAGAGGAGGACTCTTCACCTTTGAGAAGAGGAAACATCAATGAGTGGAAGAATAGTAGGAAAAAGGTCAGGGGACTCTAAAGGTGAAGAATACGAGAAATTGTGTGGTGTTCTTTATAATGCTAGGCATAAAGTGAATTGTGTGAAATAAAAGCTGAAGACAAAACAGTTGTGATGTTTGGGTACTAAAAAAAATACAGGCTCGTAGTGAAATGGCACATTATTGGAAGAAAATAATTAACAGGCTCTTAATTTGTAGAGACCAAGAAGGTTGATGGGGAGGTGTTATACTGGTTTGTGTAGCTGTCCTGGAGAACTAAGAGCAGAGGTCTGTGTTTGACTTCTGGCTTTAATGTAGAGGTTGCCTTGCTTGCCTTCTCTTTTTGAACAGATTTTTTGGGGGACTAAATATCCTCAGAGCAAGTGGTGGTGGGGAGGCAGGGGAGAGAAATGGGTCTTTCAGGCACACAGACCTTTTTCCAGGAAAATTACTCATGTGTCCCCAAAAGCTCTGCGTACTTTGTGACTCACCTCTGCCGGCACAAATGGAAGATGCTGCTGCTCAGACCACTCGGGTCACTCCCTCCTTGCTGCAAGGCAGGGCCTGTCCTCTGTGTAAGGGCAGCTCATTCCGGGGGGGGCTGCTGTCTGCTCGTGTAACTCGGCCAGCTTGGAGGGTCGAAGAAGGATCCCATGGTCTCGTTCTTGAGGCAGACATCAGGCAGTCTAGATCCTTCTGATTCTTTCATTTTTATCTGATCTTGGTCTTTCAGTTTCTCAGCCGTGAGCTGACTTAGTTTCCCGGCCTCACAGCAGTGTTGAGGTTTAGCGGCATCTTGATAACACTTATCTGAGCAGACTGTATGATCTATATGCAAAAAATTGTTGTATTATAGGTGGACTAATACTCAAGAGTGTTTCAGAAGTTAATGGTAAGCAGAATATTCTTACAATTACTTTAGGAACTCAAATCTGAAAAAGAGGTGGAAGGTGGGACTTGCTTTTGTCTTTACCGATGATAAAGTTCTAAAAATTTTAAAGCCATCTGTAAATGTTTGTGCTGAAGTATAACATTTAATCTCTCCTACTCATTGCTAGTGAATAGTTGTTAAATCTGGCCTCATTGTTTCCGACAGAATAAAATAAAAACAAAACAGTGCCCAGTGCTTCTCCTAACTGGCTAATAAACACTAGGGTAAGAACATTGGGTAGGAAAAAAACCCGTAAGAAACATAAAAATTGATTTTAATGGACCCCTGTCAGAGAGAACCATAATGAGCGCAAGTCTAGTAATAAATATTGGTATTCCGCTCCACGGTGCTTGGGCCTTTTTGTGTAGAATTGCATGTAACAATCAATATAGATTTTAGGGTTTTTTAACAACAAAAATAAGTAAACCTTTGAAATACATAAATACTTAAGACTTGCAATCATCAGACAAACCTGCTAGTTGTAGGAAAAAATCTGATAAAGAGTGCCTGGTTAATGGCATAATCGGTTTGTGGAGATCTTGCTCTGTTTTACAGCTTGTAAAATGCTGAGCAATTAATCACCTGAGATTACAACCTATTCTGCGATGGCTCTCCTTAAAACTTCAGAACACGGACTATAACGTAGACTAAAAGGAGAAGCAACAAAGTAAAATCTAGTTTTCAGTATGCTTGAACGAAATTGATCTATTAATGAGATGAAACTAATTGTAATAACCTACGGTTATTCTGCTCCTTGTGAAGCTGGCAGAGTTTAGAAGTCAAGACACGTCACAGTGTAATGGTTTCTGTTTGGAGAGGAAATTTATTCAAGCTTTTCAAATGTGTGTGTGTATATATATACATAAAATTTCGTGTGTATGAATGAGGAATTCCAGCTCAATCCTGTGAAAATTTTAATTTTCTGAATGCTAACTGAAAATTTTTTTTGGCAATCTAAGTGCAGTGCTAACAATTGGCTAAAACAGTAACTTGAAATCACCAATTTCTGGTTTAGTGTTTAAATTGCGGGTTGACTTGTTCGTCATTCAAGTTGATGGTGTCACTTAATAAAGTGCTGTAGGTAGAGCCAGAATAGATGACATCAGTATCGGAATAGCTGTGGAATAATCCAACCGTGTGTGTTTGATACCCGTATGCTGTGCAACGGAGGCTGCGATAGCTTTCACCTACGTACAACGTCATCGGGAGGGGAATCTGGAGACCTGTATGTTCATTATGGGGCTGTTTCTGAAGCAAGGTGAAGCGAACAGCTTCACGATTGTAAAGTGGGGCAAAAAGTATACCGAAGGTGAAGCTTGATTTTATAAATTTGCCTCTTTCCGACAACTTCAGCCTCACAGTTCATATTTTCAAGAAAAAGAACTAAAAATATACACAACCTGTATTTATATTCAGTACTAGATCAGCCACTGTAGTTTTTCTTTTGGTGTACACAAATAGAACCTTCTTGAACAAAACTAATGCTCCTCTTTCCTCCAGTGTCCTACCTGCAATATTGCAAGTTTGTTCCTGTCCAGAAGAAAAACTCACTTTTTAAATTTTTTACTGATATTGTACTTTTTAACTGTCTTTAGCAGCTTCAGAATGAGTTTTCTTTGTTATTCTACTGTCAGCTGCTGTGTTCCCACACTGGGATGACTGTGCTTTGAGAAGTCTTAGTCCTGAGCTGGAGGGGTAAATTATCATTTGGCGAGTCGGGGGTCACACTTGTGCCTTCTGTTAAAAGGAACAGAAACCACACTCGTATTTTGCTGCTGTGAATATTTACAGCAGAAGATACTTTGGAAAACATGGGATGTTGGCTTGGCAGTTGGGATGGCAGCAGGGAACGGTTTTTCCCTGTGTTGCAAAAATCCGAATTCTTTCAGGAATTCCACTTTCCCTCCAGAAAATCGCCCCGGGGTTCCCTCTCCCTGCAGCGCGTGTAGCCAGCAGATGTGCTAACGCAGTGAAATACGGTGGCAACTGGAGGGTTTTAGTAAAAGAAAGGGCAGTAGCATAACATGCCTTGAGGTAAACTGAAACAGCTTCCAGTGGGTGGTTGGGAAATCCTGTCCTGCTGGGCGCGGGGTCACCAACAGTGTGACTTATCACTGCGTGCTGATGAGCGCGCGCGTGGGATGAAAGTTAAATTTGGCTTCGGATTAGCGGGCGCAGATTCCAGACGATGCTAATACTGACCCCGCTGTGGGCCTTGAGGATGCCACCGGGAGAAAGTGTTGAGTTTTTTTGATTTAAAGCGTAGCTGAGCTGGCTGTGGTCCGTCGCTGCCATCCTTGGGTGGGCCCAGCGCCGGGGCAGGATGGGGGTGGTTGGGGGACGGCCGCCCCCTGGCTGCTGGGCTCCTGCTTCCCGGCCCGAGGGCTGCCGGGGCGCACAGCCAGCTCCAGAACCTGAGCTCCCATCTGCAGCACGTGCAGGTGGTCTGCTCCTCCTCCCTCGAGTCAGAACGAGGTGTCGGTGGGGATGTGAACTTGAATTCGAGAGACTGCAGAGGAGTTTCTGGCATTTCACGCAAGTTTACGAGAACTGAGATTGGGCAGGTTGATTTGCTTTACCATGCCTTGAATTATCAAAATGTCCATTTTCCTGGTGGTTTAGGAATACCCCAGACTTCCCTTTATGCTATTTTCAGAAGAGAGATTTTTTTTGGAAGCAGTGTGATCCCATCCGCCTTCTGTATTTCTTGCAATTTGCTCTGTAGCGTTTCATTTCCCTACATCTTACTGAGAGAGATCAAAGAAAGAGGAACAAGTTGCTGGTTGGGCCATGCTTGTATTAT